GACAGCATTTCGAAGCAACGAGAGGATCTCCTGCCTGCAGTTTTGAGAAGCTGGCAGGAGATTCACGGAGTACTATATGACCCTGGAAGTCGGGAGGTGGCGCATTCGACCAGCCGCAGAGAGGACTATAAGAAGAAGGTAGCGAGAAGTGGCGAGCGCGCAAGTGCTGGGTATTGCTAGTTGATCAATAATGTAATGCATATTGATAATCTTGATGTGCTTTGTGTCGTTCAGTTCGAAACGGAGGGTGCCACCTCCTCGGGGCTCCCTCAGGCACCCGGTATGCAGTCCGTCGGCGGCCTCGCCGCTCAGAAACACCCTCCGCGCCGTCGAGTGCAGTGTGAGACCGCCGCTGGCCACGCGCCACCCAGGGACGCCACTCCCCCCTTCCAGCACAGACCCGCCCACTCAGTCAGCTGATCGAGCGCCCCCCCTCCCCCCCCGAGCTCCGGCTGCAGTGGCTGATGGGAGGGGAAACTACCACCTGACCTTAGCCCCGCCCCCTCACCTACGGACTTCCTGTTTGAGGAGAAGAATCCGCCGTCTGTTCAGCCGCCACAGAGCTTCCTGATTTCAGAATAATGTGACAGGTTATGTTTGGGAGTTCGGGGGGTCAGAGGTCACCGAAGCAGCACAGCGTTATGCAAATTATTTCTCTTTTTCATTCACTTTTTTTTTTTTTTAAGAAAACAAAGATAAAAAAAGTTTCCGGACTTCCTGCTGTGAGCGTTTCTGCCCTTTTTATATGAATCAGAGCTTTTATTTTGGTAAAAACAAACAAAAAGAAAACTTCCCAAAAACTTTGTGATGTCACAGCGGGAGAGAAAATTAAATATTTGTAGAAATGAACTTTTTTGTTTTTGTGTAAAATAATTAAAATGAAGCTTATTTATTCAGTTAGTGAACAGAGGATTTTTTAGTGTGTGTGTGTGTGTGTGTGTGTGTGTGTGTGTGTGGAAGATCATTACCGCCAAGAGAAAAAAATAAATAACGGTTGATGAAAATTAAAAGTAAAAATTAAAGGCGGGTCCATATTATGAGACACTACGAACAAATTACTGATCACTTTGGTTTGTTTTGAATTGTATTTTAGATTTTTGATGGTAAAATTATAATTTGGACCTAAAAAATTTAATTTTGACAAATGATGACTCAGTTAATCTCAATATTTTCCTTTTTTAAAAGTCGTTAATCAAAATTATCTCAGAATATTGATTTTAAAATTGGTTCATCTTGGTTTCATAACTGAGGCTCAAAGTTGTAATTTTGATTTTAAAGTTTCGCTTAATTGAATTTGTTAAT